CACACACACACACACACACACACACACACACACACACACACACACACATGTTTGTTCTTCTATCCTCATGGGGCTTTGCAATGACTTTCATTTATTTAGCAGTTATTTCTATAGCCTGACCTCTGACCCCTGACCCTAAACCTAGCCTAAACTCAGTTCATACCTTAGTCCTAAATCTAACCCCTGACCCACCAATGATCTTTCTGCCAGTGGGGACCAGGCTTTAGTCCTCCTTAGGAACAGTGGGTCCTCATCAGGCTGTGTGTGCCAGGAAAACATCCACACCAGGTAGCAAAAACATGTTCACCAAAACACACACACCCACACACCATCTTATGCTAATTTAATTTTTTTTATTAGCATTTTCATATTTTTAAGTTTGTTATCAGCCTTTTGCTACRTTTACCTTTTTGCTACACTGAACCACTTTTAGTCGTCTAGCCTTTGTTCTGTTGCTTTTAGCTAGATTTGAGCAAATAGCTACTTAGAAGAGTGGTTTTAGGTTATAGCTGGACTTTTCCTACTTTTAGCTTTTAGTTATCTTTTTAACGATTTGAACTTTTAGCTAGTGCTTCACCACTTTTAGCATCAAGCTAACCTTTTGATAGTTTGGCTTCTAGCCAACCAATTGAAGTAAATTGTGATGGACTGAATGTTGTATTTTATACTTTCTGATCTCTGCAGCTGTGAGGTTAAACAGAGAATAAGAGTTGGTTTGTTATCATGGGTTCTCTCTGTCTGCGTAAACAAACGTTAACGTCTGATGTAAAAGGTACCACCTCCAGGGGTGTAACCAGGAAGAGACATACGTTAACGGTTGATTCATCAATATTAGTCAGGGTTTTGTCAGTTATTGAGGATGCTGCTCCGGAGAGTTTGTTATTGTTTATGTTTTATTCAGACTTTTCTGTATTGATCACGCGTTTCTTTATAATTTGCTAATTTTGACTTTCAGCTTGCATTTTGTTATTTTTGGCTTTCAGCTGTTTTTCTGCTTCTTTTAGCATTTTCATATATTTTCATTCCTGCTAGCCTTTTGATACTTTAAGCTTTTAGCTGTGTTAGTTTAGCTTTTTGCTTATTTTAACTTGTATTTTACTGACTAAGTTATGGCTGTTGGCTGCCTCAGTTACTGTATGTTCTCTTTCTCAGCATGAGGTGATTTTAGGTGAACCCTCTGGTGTGAACTAATATTAATGATGTGTTTACTTTCTGACAGACTTGAACAAACATTTAGCTCGTTGTCACTTCCTCCTCTAAAGTTTAGAGTCGTTAACGTCTTGTGTCTGGTGTCACACAGGATTTGTTCTCCCTCCATCAGACAAGATGCAGATGATGGTGAAAACCCTGAGGAGCGTTTGTGTCTCTGCTGATGTTCTGTTTGTTGATGTCAGGCAGCAGGATGTTAGTTTGTGAGGTGATGAATGGAGAGTGGCAGAATAAAACTTTGTTCTAACGGTGATGTTTGACTGTTGGAGGAGAGTTGGAGACAGGAACACCAGATGTGACCTGCACATTTCCTGTCTGTGTTTAGTCCCGCCCACCGTGGAGCCGGCGTTCACAGACGTACGTCAGGCCCTGGGCCGGGCCTTCAGCCTCACCTGCAGCCTCCTGCAGGCCAACCCGGCCCGCCTCCTCAGGTACGAGTGGAAGCTGGGCTCCCGCCTCCTGACCGTCGGGCAGCTCACCGACCAGAACCTCGACACCAGCTACCACGTCAAAGCTCTGAACCGGGAAGGCTACGGCGAGTACACCTGCGACATAACCAACGAGGCGGGGGCGGGACGCTGCACCTACCTGGTTACAGGTGAGACGAACCGTTTGGATCCTCTCGTGTGCTGAAGCGGATGTTAGCGGCTGTAAGGAGCCGAAGAGACATTTTCTGCTTCGCTAACTCCATTTGTCCGATCTAGCTGCACCTTAAAGTGTCWCTAGCTGCGTTTCCATTGACCATGAAAATRCGCAAATTAGAATTTCGAAAATAAATTTGCTCAATGGAAACACGTCAGTTTTGAAAAAAATTACTTTTTTCGACAAAATGTTTTTGCGCTAGGATGAGGTGTTTTTTCAGCCGTATCAAAATTGGTGTTTTTCGCAAAACTTCAATGGAAACACTTTTTTCACATCACAGGAGTCACGTGATCAACAACCGGCTGTTTCTACTGGTGAAAAAGACGATGATGAAGAAGATAACAGGAAGTAGAAGTAGTAGTAATATCACAGAAGTAGTATAAAATAGTAAACTCACCGACTACAATTTCCCAAAAACACAGCATACGTAGCCGCTCCCAAGTAGGGACTTGTCTCTGGAAAGCCTCGATAAAAGACGCCGACGTCTCCTCTGATGATGAGCGCTAGTGTCGTGGTAGCAACATGCTATGTGTTTACATCCATGTTTGTAATGACTTATGAGAACAAACGTATTCACATGACTTTAATAGCGTTTCTTACTTAATGGAAACACTGCAGTTGCGAAACTGTGTTTTTTCGACATTAACAGAATTTTGACAAAGTTTTGCGCACGTTTGCAATGGAAACACAGCTTGTGACATGCCTGTCCTTCAAATACAAAAGGTCAAAGAAAACATCTTTATACTTAAGAAAACTGGCATAATACACATGATTTTACCCATTTTGTCACATAACTGGCCTATTTTCTTTTGAATTTGGCTCAGCCAAAATGAAACAAGAAGTGACATCAAAGGAGAACTCATTAATAAAATAAACTCTTTGTTTTTTGTTTATTGAAACTATATTATTTGAACTTTAATTCTTCATCTCTGATAGTGACTCAAAATAATCTAAAGAAACATCAGATTCTTCTCTGTATTAGCTTTTGTAACAACACTGTGTTTACATTCTGACATTCGTTCTTGACATCACTTCCTGTTTCTTCACACGCAAAAATCTCAACAACTGTTCATCTCAGCGACATGAAATTTGTTTTGCAACATGTTATCAATGTTATTTTTCCAAAAATGCATTCATGTTTATTACAAAAATCTGATGTCACCGGTGCTTTAAAGGGACACTCTGTCTATTTATTTATTTATTAGTTATTTATTTTTTGTTTATTTAACAAGCAGCTCAGACAATGAGCAGCAGTTCTGTCAGATTTACAACAAACATTTGGGAACTTTATGAAAACACCTGAAGCAGCCGTCTGAAGCTGCGGACCCCCAGCCTCAGAGGGGTTCTGGACTCTCTCTCTGCCTGACTCGACTCGTGTCTCTGGCCCCTCCTGATCAAAGCTCCGCTGCAGAGACACCCTGCCAGATTTCCTCTAAAACTCGCGGTCACGCTAAGCCTCTTAAGCGGGCCAGCTGCCGAGCAGCAGCAGCAGCAGCACATTCTGCTGTCAGCAGCACCGAGTCTTTAAACAATCAAATTATCTTCTGCAGGCGGGGCGAGCTGCTGCTGAGGGACCCGTCACCGGCTGAGGTGTGTGTGGATTTCTTTAAATAAATAACAGCTTAATAAAGTTTCCTCAGCCTGCAGCAGCTCAGAGAAACAGCAAAGCTTCAAACTGAAATCCAGCCAGGCGTGACCTGGAAAAAAGTGCCGAGCTCAGGAAACTACCGGAAAGCCTTAAATCTTCATTTGGGTCCAGTCTCCCAGTCGAAGCAGGCTCAGAGGCCTCCAGCAGGACCGGGACCAGGATCTGCAGCCACCTGACCCAGCTGATTTGATCTTTTAATGTCTGAAAGTTGAAACCTTAAAACGGGTTCTTAACCTTTTTGATCTCAGGGCCCAATTTGTTGAACTTAAAGAGGCACGAGGCCCAGTCACACATTACCAATGATGATTATTCTAAATCTTTGTTTAATTTGTATTATATTTGCATTATAAATATTAAATACATTTATAGTTTACAAGTAAAACTCCTGTCAAATAATCACAAGACATGATTATGACAAACATTTTTATATTGTAACCTGCCCATAACAATTATTTGAACAAATACAAAGGTCAGTCAACAGACCATTCAGGCTTATCAACACTAAAATAACATTTTTTAACATAAACAATAACAAAAATAGACAATTCAGTAAATAAAATTGTGGTTATACAATAAATATATTAAAAATGTTTAAAGGAAATGTTTCAAATAAAAAAAACATGTAAAACTAAATTTGATAAAGTACAAATGAAAATAAAGCCTTTTTCAAACTTTTGCATGGTAGAACCAGAAGCTGCTCTACATATTAGTGACAAACTTTGGCATTTTTTTATGAGTTCTTTCATTTTTGCTTCTACTTTTCATTTACAATTGGTTTCCGCTCTCAGCAGGTATCGGTTCTTCTACATATTAAAGTTGTTAAACATCTGAGTGGCGCACTACTGCTACTAGTGGTGAGAAAGTGTATTGCACCCTATTTAAAATCAATGCGGACCCGTGGCCCTCTGCGGCCCAACGTTAAAAACTGTTGCTCTTTTGAGGCCCTCTAGGTGGCGCATGGGTTAAGAGTCTCTGCCCTAAAACATCAAACAGTCTGACCTTTGACCTCTGTGCCCCCTCCACAGGTAAAGCCCACGCTCCAGAGTTTTACTACGACACCTACAGCGCCCTGTGGCAGAATCGACCCCAGGTCTACGGCTTCAAGCTGCAGTGGACCCAGATGGAGCCCAACGCCGTGGATCGGATCCTGGCCTACAGGCTGGGCATCAGGCAGGTCCGTCCAGAACCAGAACAGAGAGGCTCAGACCTCAGGGTTGGACTCACACAGATGGACGTTTATAGAAATGATTACTGGGAACTATCTTTAGAGCCTTCTCATCACGTCGCTCATGTTCTGGATGATTTGAGCAGATTGGATGTGGGTCCTGGGCACCGAGACAGAGACATGGTTTAGTTCCACGTCAGCCTCTAACAGCTGACGGACAGACTCACTTCCTCTGCTTAAATTTGACAAAACAGCACCAAGTCGTGGATTTCTGTTTTACTCTTTTATGTACTTTAGAGTAATGACACTTTTCTAAATTAATCTCAGACAACAATTCTGTTTCCCTTTAGTAAAAAGGCCAAAAATCATCAAACTTAAACCTGGATTGTGTAAAAATCAGGATAAGATCTGAAGTTCAAGACTTTCTGTGACCCGTTCCAACTTTGAAAGATGAGCAGGAGATCCAAACAGGACTGGACTGTCTCACTATTTAAACCTAACTTTGTGTTTGGTAGAATATTTCTTTATAACAATGCTGCTTGACGATAAATCTTAAATCATTGAAAAGTCTGTTAATCCCCTTTTAAATGGTGCCACATTTGTAAGGAACATGCATTTGTGGGATGAGCAGTAGAGTTGAGTATGTGGGTTGTGCACATGAAAAATTTACCAAATCTTCTCTGTCAAACAGCTTATTTAGTTGTTGACTCTTGTTTTGAGCTTCTGAGAGTTTTAGCTGCTGCCAATCAGATCAAGATTTATCACCAGAATTATTCTACCAAACACTAATTTACTTCCACTGTCTGCTAAGACTAGCTAAAAGCTAAAAGATTGAAAAGACTAGCTAAGGCTAGCTAAAAGTTAAAAGATTGAAAAGCTTAGCTAAAAGATAAAAGATTGAAAAGGCTAGCTAAGGCTAGCTAAAAGTTAAGAGATTGAAAAGGCTAGCTAAAAGATAAAAAAGACTAGCTAAGGCTAGCTAAAAGTTAAAAGATTGAAAAGGCTAGCTAAAAGTTAAAAGATTGAAAAGGCTAGCTAAAAGATAAAAAAGACTAGCTAAGGCTAGCTAAAAGCTAAAAGATTTAAAAGACTAGCTAAAAGCTAAAAGATTGAAAAGACTAGCTAAAAACTAAAAGATTTAAAAGACCAGCTAAGGCTAGCTAAAAATTAAAAGGTTGAAAAGGCTAGCTAAAAGTTAAGAAATTGAAAAGACTAGCTAAAAGCTAAAAGATTGAAAAGACTAGCTAAAAGCTAAAAGATTTAAAAGACTAGCAATGGCTAGCTAAAAGCTAAAAGATTGAAAAGGCTAGCTAAAAGTTAAAAGTAGCAYATTAAGACAAAAATGGAGCCAACAGAAGCAGAAAAAGAATTAAGAGGATTTTAAAGGAATTAAAAAGATCTTACTTTGTTTCTTTGACCAAAGACTGACTCAGCATTTTCATCCAGTAAGAATGCTTCATGATTTTAACATTTGGACTTTAATAAACATAAAGGAGATGCTTCAAGCTGCTTGTTTCAACCAGAACCTAACTCTGAAGCTTAGAATCAAACTTAGGTTGATGAAGTCTAATTTAAGGTGATCATTTGGTTGTTTGTAATATGATTTTTTAGTTTTCTGTCAGTGCTGTTTGGAGGTTGAAACAGGCTTCAGGACTCACAGCTCGCTCTGACTTACAGAAACAAACTTTRTTCAAGCTTCAAATCCTCCGCAGACATTAATCTGTCATGTTGGATCCGCAGTCGACAGGAAAAGGTTTAAAAGATTTGTGCATCAAGTGGGGTTTTCATCTTTTTTTGTCATGAAACTGAACAGGATTTACTGGACCAGAAACCATTCTGAATATATTTTGCATCGTTGAGGTGTTATGAAAAAAAGAAAACAGTTTCTTCAAAGATGATGCTTCTCTTCAGAAACCTAAAGAGTTTTAACTGTTTTCACTTTTTATTTGATTAATTTACTATATTTTATTCAGTTTTAATACTTTTATCTCCTAGCTAACATTTAGCTTCTTTTCTCTTTTAGCTACCATTCTTTTGTTTTTAGCTAGCATTTTGATACATTTTACTTTTAGCTACCCTTTTCCTCTTTTTAGCTAGCATTTTTGATTATTTTAGCTTATGGCTAGCCATTTGCTTCTTTTATTTTTTTAGCTACCATTCTTTTGTTTTTAGCTAGACTTTTGCAACCTTTTTCTTTTGGATAGCCTTTAGCTTTTTTCCCCTTTTAGCTTCCATTCACATACTTTATGCTACCGTTTCAGTGTTTKTTGTTTTTAGCTATCCTTTTGCTACTTTTAGCTTATTTTTTTAATGTTTTGCTTTTAGCTAACCTTTTTCTCTTTTAGCTAGTGTTTTAATGCCTTTGGCTTGCCTTTTGCTTCTTTTCTCTTTTAGCTATCATACTTTTGTTTTTAGTTAGCCTTTTGGTACTTTTAGCTAATGTTTTTGAATGGTTTGCTTTTAGCTAACCTTTTGCTGTTTAAAGCTAAAATTCAGCTTTTAGCTATAAAGCCTCAGGAGTTGTTGAATTCAGAAAATATGATTTCCCAGTTTACATTCAGGTTCTGTTGGGTTCTGTTTGGTTGTGGTGAGTTCTGGTTGAACATAGTTTAAGGTCCAGGTTCTGTCTGGTTCTGTTGGATTCTGTCGGGTTTAGAATCACCTGCTCTCTGTTTGACTCAGACGGGTCAGTCTCGGTGGTGGGAGCAGGAGATCCCGATGGACGGAACCATCCAGAAGGGCCAGCTGCTCACCTAYAACCTGACCGAACTGATCAAACCCGAGTCCTACCTGGTCCGGCTGACCCCCATCACCCGGTACGGAGAGGGGGACACGTCAGAACGCGTCATCGCGTACAGCGGTGGGTTCTTTTCTAAGCCCACTCTTTAAGGTGGTATTAATCTGTTGGAGGAGATCTCAGAAGTTTTGAAGAAACAAATCATAAACTCAGTTTTACATTTTGTTCTGGATGGATCCRGTCTGACTGTGGTCTCTGGTTTTTGCAGCTCCTGTGAATCCACATCTCAGTAAGTATCTGATCACAAACTCCGAATCTGAAGGTTGAATAAGTTCTGAGGTTCTGCTCTAAGCTGGACCTTTGATGTTTGTTTACATGTCACATGTTTACGGCGTGTTGTTCTGTGTTCTCAGGGGAGTTYCAGTGTGGTTTTGAGGAGGAGGCCTTATGTTTGTTCTCTCAGGACAAGGCCGATGAGTTTGACTGGACTCGTCACCGTGCCTCCTCACACGACACCAAATCCACACCGAACACCGGGCCRAGCTCGGACCGCTCCGGCTCAAAGCAGGGTACGAAAAAACAGACACAAACATGATTAGGGCTGGGTATCCATTCAGATTTCCCAAATCAATTCAATTCATAGGGGCCCGATTCGATTCACGACGATTTACGATTCAGTTTGATTTATTTTTAAATGAGTTAAGGATATCTTGCAGTAACACTTTTATTTTGATATAGAAAACATTCTCAAAGGAACTAATTCTGTAAGTAGAAACCAATTCTAACTTGGTGCGTTGGTAAAATTATAAACATTAAGTTTAATCTTGAAACAAAACTGTCTCAAGATTCAAAGGTTTAAACTAAAAAGCAATCGACAGAAAGTGTTGGATACATTAGTTTTATAAGAAACTATGAATAATTTTCTTGATCACTAAGAAATGATGGAATAAGGTTACAGGAGAAGAGGTGGGTTAGTATAAGTGTATATTTCTGCCCACTCCTTTGAGTGTATGAAAACTGTATATTTGTAATGTTTCTGTTAGCTTCTGTTCAATAAAAATTATTAACAAGAAGAAAGAAAGAGAAAAGAGAACTTCAGCTAATCTACGGCAAGCCAGGGAGTGACACAAAACATGTAAACATGCAGCTTCACTGCACACAACACTCACAGGGAAAAATCTATCTCATGACTTATGAATCGATTTTCCCAAATTTGAACGAAAATCGATCCAAATCAATTAAATCGATTTTTTTTTAACCCAGCCCTAAACGTGATTCTGACTAAAGCCCCCGTGATGTTTAATTGTCTCCTAACATCATAAAATATGACACAGAAGTGAAACTGTGCAGCGCTTCGATTCAGGTTTTATTTTTAAGTGTCACATTACATCACACCAGGAGAACGTCCATGACCTGTGAGCCTGACTTCCTGTCCCGCAGGTTTCTACATGTACATCGAGACATCGAGGCCGAGGCTGGAGGGGGACAAGGCTCGCCTGCTGTCCCCGACCTTCAGCATGAACTCCAAGAGCTTTCTGTCCTCGTCCTCAGGTGGCAACAACCCCACCTACTGCTTCACCTTCTTCTACCACATGTATGGAAAACACATAGGTGAGAGCGCACGAGGGTGGGGCTTATCATGGGAGGGCGGAGTTTATCACATCAGGGCGGAGTTTATCACATCAGGGTGGAGTTTATCACATCAGGGTGGAGTTTATCACATCAGGGCGGAGTTTATCACATCAGGGCGGAGTTTATCACATCAGGGTGGAGTTTGTCACATCAGGGTGGAGTTTATTACATCAGGGCGGAGTTTATCACATCAGGGCGGAGTTTATCACAGGAGGGCGGAGTTTATCATATCAGGAAGGAGTTTATCACAGGGGGGCGAAGTTTATCACATCAGGAAGGAGTTTATCACTCAAGGATAACCAAGACCTTCCTGATTGTTGTATTTTTGTCTCACAGGAACTCTGAACATTTTCTTGCGTCAGAAAAGTACGACACTGACGGACAACTTGGTCTGGAGTTTGTCTGGTAACCAAGGAAACCACTGGAGGCAGGCTCGGGTTGACATCCACCCGACGGCAGCCTTTCAGGTACGGGACACACCTGCCTGCTGTCTACTGATGACATCATCCATCAATAACAAACAAACTGCATCGTTTGCTCAGCCTTTTAATACGTTTTACTTCCTGTTTCCTGTCTTCAGATGGTAGTGGAAGGGATCCGAGGCCCCGGGATCGAAGGTGACATCGCTATTGATGATGTCACAATTGAGGAAGGCGAATGTAAAGACCCCCCACCCAACAGTGAGCACCTCCGAAGTGAAATACAAATTTCTTCATCTTTATTACAAACATTTTCCTTTTTAACATAACTGTTTGTTTGTTTTTCAATCACACAGATTTAAGGTCATTTGCCCCGCCCCCATCACACCATATATGGCAACTCTGTATGACACTAAGGCTTGTTCTGATTGGCTGGCAGAGGTGACCCCATCCTACGCCATCAGCCTTCTATACAGGACGCCATGAGTTTTGACTCCTATAAACTCCTGCTCATTTCTAGGACTGAGGGCATTTTTTTATTTATTTGTAATATTTTTAAACTTAGCACAACAAATGAACGGAGGAGGAAACGGTTTGCTTCATCAACAACCACCAACATTTTGTTGTTCGCTAACGGGCCAGTAAAACTCATCATAGCTCCAGTCCTGCAGGGAGTCTGGTTTTGGAACAGTTAGGGGTCCATCGCAGAACCAGGATCTGGATGAGACTGCTGGTTGTTAAACAGTTCTTCACAAGGGGGTCTCCAGACGATTGTGGGGATTCTCAGGTTCCACACGAGAGGTGAAGAGGCTCCAAGTCTTTGTTGGTTCAGTTACAAACAGGTTTGGGTTTGWTTTTCTCTCAAAATATCAGTGGTGGGCACAGTTCAGCTAACCCGCTAATAGAGGAATTAGCTTCTCTTTTATCAGATTAGCTTTTTCCCCTACTTTGGAAACCGTTAGCAGACCAATTAGCTTCCACTAAATTAGCTTCCACTAATTTTAACTCCACTAATAAATTCACAAATATAAAACTTCTGTTTTTTTTTTGCAATTTATCCCAAGTTAAATAAAAACTATCCGCTTTTACAAGCAGTGCTGGACGTGTCAGGCACCATGTGTTAGCATGTAGCATCTTTAGCAGCTAAACTTCAAGCTAAAAGCGTCACAAAGAAATTAAATAAAATTTAATTATATAAGTAACAAATACAAAAATTGGCTACATCTAAAATGTAGTATACAGAGAAAGTATTTGTTAATTGTTTGACTAACTTCAAACAACAATGTTTATACAGATTCTAACACAATCAAAGAAACGCTTTTAGACAGAGCTATAACTCTGTTTTGGATTGGCTGGCTTTCCACAGTTGATCCCACCCACCTTTACAATAAACCAATAGAAAACTGACAACAGGTTTGTGTCAGTCTCTTAGCAGTTAGCTTTAGCTTCCACTAATATTTCTTTCTGTTTAGTGGTTTAGCGTTTGCTTCCACTAATATTTCTTTCTGTTTAGTGGTTTAGCRTTWGCTTCCACTAATATTTCTTTCTGTTTAGTGGTTTAGCGTTWGCTTCCACTAATATTTCTTTCTGTTTAGTGGTTAGCGTTAGTGGAGCTAAGATTCTTGTTTAGTGGATTAGCGGTTATTGAAGCTAATGTTTTGATTGGCTGTGCCCACCACTGATGAATAGTTACAAAGCTGTTGGAGGCGTCTCCAACTCGTCTGTAATTCTTCTCAGTTCTGTCTCCTGTCACGAAGCGATCGTCTGCGTCTGGATGCAGTCTGAGTCAGGTCAGAGTGGGCTCTTTGTGGTGGGATCGAGGGTCTACGTGGTCTTTAGGTCACATGACAGCTGGTGACGGTTCAGGAAGGTGACTTGGGGACATAAACGAGCAGAAGAACTGTACGTGTGGAGTCCTGAGAACAAAGCAGGATCAGGTTTTGGTTTTGAACAGGTTTAGTTTGTAACGAGGAGCCCTGAGGTCACTTTAAATCCAGACTCTACCAATCCACCTGCTCTAAAATTTGTAAATACAGAATATAAAAGGTTTATTTAAATAACTGAGTGCTGAGATAATGAAGCTGTTTGGCTGTAAACCCTCTGAGTTGAGCCTGAAGGTTCGGAGGTACAGCAACATGTGGGCCAAGTGACAAAACTACTTTTTTATTTTGATTACTCGTATTCCTGTTCTGCTGTTTAATGGATGTAAATAAACGAGGAGGGTATTTTTTAAAGTTTTGAAGACTCCCAGCTCAGCTCCGTGTGGTTTTCTCCGTGGATCTGAAATCTCTGACAGATTATTTGTAACAGAATCAGATTTTCCTTCAGGTTTGATGAGATTGTTTGCTGTCTGAGAGGGTTCTCCAGCCGAGGTTGGTTTCTGCTCATCAACCGTACTGTACCGCTTCAAACTGCAGAGACTTTTACAAATCTATATTTTTAGACGAGATTCTGACGAGGGAAGGAGATTTCACCTTCTGCCATAAAATCAAGTGCCTTCGACTCAGAGAGGATTGTCCAGGAGCGTCAGCATGGGAACAGACGAGCTGTGGTTCGAGTATGCAAAGAGCATTTCTAACGTTTTCTTTCTTTAACGAGACAAACACAAACCATCTGAATGGAAGAGAAGACGGAGACCTGACAGGAAGTTCTCCGGGATCTGGGACTAGGAGGACTCGTGTGACGACTCGTAGCCAATAGGATTCAAGCATTTGTTTTGACTCTGATCTGGATCCTGTAATAATCTAAAACTCGGTGTTTGTACCTGCACCTTTCAGCCCCGATCATATCTTTACTTTTCTTCTGACAAAGGTTTGTTTCTCCTTTAAAATCATGTCCGAGTTCATAAAACATGAGGTTAAATATATTTACCATTTCTTGTTCCGATTGTTTCAAACCGTTAACCGACTGGAGGGGAGACATGTTTGATATTCTTTATGCTGATAAAATGTTTCTAATAAAAGTCTGATGAGTATTTATTCTTTAAAGAAAATAAAAACCTAATTAATTATTTGGAAACGTTGATTTTCCTTTTATTCATTTGAGAAATTTCTGTATTCCTTATAATATATATATATATGAAAGCCTTATAACAGACTGTTTTTAAAGTTTTATTTTTTGGCTTATTGGTGAAATTATCTTTAAAAATATTCATATGTTATTGCTTTTTGAGGTAAGAAATAGTTTTGACTTGGCTTAAGTCGTACTGAGCACAAAGTCAGTAAATTCATATTTGGGAGATTATTTCTTGTAACAATGCTTGTTGATAAATCTTATACAGTTAGAAATCCTGTTCATTTCCCATTTAAATGGTGCCACATTTGTAAGGAACATGCATTTGTGGGATGTGCACATGAAACATCTGCCAAATCTTCTCTTTAAAACAGGTGCTTTTGATAGTGCCAACTGCAGCTTTAAGATTTATTGTTACAAATAAATCTACCAAACACTAATTTACATTTATTTATAGCTGTGGCTGGTGCTACCAGAAGCTGAAAACAAGAGTCAACATCAAAATAAACWTTTTTAAAAAGATTTAGTGATGTTTCTCAGTGGATCTGTGCTCCACAATACAGCCTAGGTGGAGTAGTTGAACACAGATCCACTGATCCTTCAACACAGAGCATCTTCAGAAGACAAGCTGATAAAATAAATGTTAAAAATCTGTATTGTTTGATACAAGTGTGTATTGAAGGGTTCCACAGATACATGAACTGTTTCACCCAATAAATATATGTATATATATAAACCCAAAATTATATACTGTATTGTAAAAATAGGTGACAAAATATCAAATTTGTCTTGATGATTAAATCACAATTTTCTGACTTACAAGTTGAATTATCTTCAGAGTTAATTCATATTTTGTAGGTTTAGGTAAGAAATAATTTCGACTCAGTTCACATCGTTTRAATACGGTAAATATTTAAATGAACAATTTTTGTATTATTTACATGTTTTTGCAATATTTATGATCAAACACTCACTTTATCACAGTATTTTTATTGTATTTTGATCCAATATGAAAAACAATGCAAGCATGAAAAAGTTTGTTCAAACACCAAACTAGTTGTATCACAGTTTTTTTGGCACTAATGTGCTCACACACACGCACGCACGCACACACACACACACACACACACAAAGGCTTCAGTTCCCTTTTTTTTAAACACAAAAACATTTCAGTGCCAAAAACAGGTGAAGCTTCAGCAGCTGTTTGACATGAGTTCATCTGATAGTTTGGTGTGGTAGTAGCTGAGACTGATTCCAAACCTGAGAACAGACTGTAGATCTGCTTCTTTGGGACCAGACTGACCCAGGTGTTGGTTCCGGTACTTCGGACTCAAGGTTCTGATGCAAACCAAAGATGAAAACCAACTTCCAGCAAAAACACAAACTTCATTTACGTCTCCAGCTGGAGGCACGTGACGCGGAGGTGACTGCTGGTTCTGTTTCAGGGCTCAGTTCTTCCAGAAGTTCGGGTTCTGGGCCATCCTCCTCTGGAAGTTCTCGTACCACCTGAGGATGCAGCTGGACGGGATGAAGGTCTCGGTGGGGTTCGGGATCATCTGCGCCTGCGTGACGGCGAACGACGACACGAAGTTGTAGAGACTGTCCAGCATCTTCTGGGTGAAGAGCAGGAACGTGTCCACGGTGGACACGGCGGCGCTGGCCACCGGGATCTGCTGGACCAGCTGCTCCAGGGGCTCCACGGACACTCCGACCTGGGCCGCGGAGGGCGGGGCGGAGGAGACCATCCCCCCGAAGGGGTGCGCGCCGCCCTCGCCGTTCTTCATCCCGGAGATCTTGAAGATGGCGCTCGGCTTGTCGTTGGTGATGAAGCCGAGCAGCTGCCACACCGGCCCGCCGCCCAGCGGGTCCGGGAAGGAGAAGTATACGGCCCCGCCCGTGCCGGCGGGGAACGGCACCGTGCCCAGCATAAAGACCACCACGTGGTTCACGTTCTCGTAGTCCGCCAGGTTGAACACGAACTTGTCCGAGGCGACCTGCACGGCGTCGGTTTGCACCAGCCTGCCGGCGACCAAACACCCGAACATCCCTGCTGACAGCCGCGGAGCCGCTGCGAACAACCCGTCAAAGCTGGAGCTGCCGGCTGGAAACATCTACAGAGGCGGAGGTTCCTTCCCCAAACAAAACAGTTGCACAACGAACTCTGGAAACTTCTGCTTCTTCTTCTACCATCGGTCACAGGATAAACACAGCGCCGCGGTGTTGGCGCCACCTGCAGGCGGGACGTGGAACTGCACGAAAAATACCTGTTTCTCTGTGTTAGCAAAATAACTGGAAGGATTTTTTTTATGAAACTCTCAGTAATTATTACTAAAGTCACATCTACAACTGATTAACCTTTGAACTTAGCCTTATTAAGACTGCCACAAGGTTTTTCTATCAATAAATAAATAAATAAATAACAATTACAACAAATGTGGCATCAATATAAAAAGGTCTGCTTGTTTGAACTAAGACAAGAAAATAATATTTCAGTTTATTTAAAATTAAAATAGAAACCAGTAAATAAAACAAGTAACAAAAAAATAAAACAACTGCGTGTTTTGATGTGTTGATGACGCGAGGTTTCTGGTTGGAACTTCGGTATTTCCGAGCTTTGGGGTTGTCCCTGAACGCCACACACGAAGCTCAGCAGTCGCATTCAGTCTGCTGCTCTGCTAATCGCTGGTGCCGGCCCGTCGAGTCTGTCACGTCCTGTGACCCACTCGGAAGAAATGGGCCTTTTTTGATTTTTATTTTTATTTTCTACCCCGGACACCAAAGGCTCCTAACCATCCTATTTTGAATTCCGAAGATTGGGTTTTCCGTCGTTTTTTTTTTTACGTAGATAAACTTTGTCCTGACGGTGAGGAGCAGCCCTGGGCCCGTGTCGCTTGTGGTGAGTATCCGCCGGTGCGCAGCGGCCTCTCGGCTCTCCCGGAACTCGAGGTCCGAGGCTCGCGTTTGGGGTTTTAGGCCGCTGCTCGTGTTTGTTGTCTGTGAGGACACTAGTGGGACATTTAAACGGCATAGACCGAGTTAGCTTGTGTTTTTTTGGACATGTCACGGCAGTCTGAGTTAATCTACGGGATTATAAACAGCTGTTATCAGCACGCTAATGGTTCAGTTTAGCTAGCTTTAAGCTAACATTAGTTAGCCGGCGAACATGTTAACATTTATCGAGGCTCTGGGTGTTCGGGATAATTTCGTACAAACCCAGCTTATTTTATTAATGTGACCGAAGCTGTAACACATTAAGTTAATTATTTTAAAGCTAATAGTCTATATAATATAAACTTGTGAACCTAGCTAACACAGCTATTTGTCACTAACATCCCTTTTCTTATCCTTAGGTTGATTGTCTGATGAAATAATCAGGGTTTCGTATGCCCCCACTAACCTCATTCAGTGTTTAAATCCGTGTGKGCTTTTTTCACTAAACCCCACACCACATTCACTACGTCACGATTTATTTAAGCTAAAAGTCTAAATCAGCGTTTAGTTTCAGTCGTTTGGATAAAAGATGAGAAAAAAAGCAAAGAGTAGAGGGATGATTTATGTCCTTATTGGTCATTTCTGTGATTAGTTGATTAAWTGATCTGCCATGATACCAGCTGTATGCCTTCAATCTAGTGTTGATTTGATCACAGATCAGCTGGAGAAATCATTTACATTTAAAGAGGCATTTAAATGAGTTACATGCTTGTTTTACTAACAGTTTCAATATTTTAGATAGGTCTATTTTATGCACAGATCCACAGATCCACTGATAAACATTAACATGGCAGAAAAACTCGTTTACTGAAGTCACTTTAAATAGAAACAGTTTTATTTCAGCTGAATAGTTTAATGCCAGCTAAAGTAAAACTAATAATAAAGATTATTTGGTCACCTCTTGTTGTTGCTCAGATTATTTGATGAGGATGACTCTCTGCTACTTCCACAACAAAGTCACGTWTGTGTTTGATTAGCTGTTCATGAAAAGCTGTTCAGTGGTATATTTWGCTAACAAACGACCACAGACTCAGACCCACCTGTGTTTGGTTAATAATGATAATAAATGAGGGACATAAAACCTGAAATGAACACCTGCAGAGCCTTCAGACTGGTGCAGGACGCTCCTGAATAATTTCTACTTTGGCAGCTTTGGTCCCAACACAGCCATGTTTTTGTGGGTTCAAAAACAAACTGTTGTGTTGTTTTTGTTGTGAACTCACCCAGCTTCATGCTCCCCCCTGAATAGAGCCGTTTGACCTGTTTGTGCTCAGAAAGGTGTCCCAATCTACCAGGGAATTTTGTTTTAGCTAAACTGTTCTGTTTGTCCCTGACACAAACAACTGTTTCTTTTCTTTAATTACCCAAAGATTAATATTATTGTTTTTAAAATTATTTATTTGTGTTAAGATTTCTTATGCTTAAATTTGACATTATTGATGTCAGGCTTACAATCTCATACTCAAACTTTGTATRAATTTGTTTAAAAAGCTCCTATTTAATATTTGCATGTTTATGTATTTCCTGCACAGTGATCCATTAAAACATTTTGTTTCAAAATAAAAAAACAAGGAAATAAATTCAGTTAAAGTTAAGGAGCGTAGCAGATCTCTCCTGTTTGTAACAACATAAACAAAACTGATAGAAATGACAAATAAGACAACAAATCCTCTGAATAACACTAAAATATTAATTTAGTTAAAGGAAGAAATTACATTTTATTATAAACAAAAAATTATTTTAGCTTTACAAATGTCTTAGTATTATTTAAAATAATTATTTTCTCCCTGATGGTCCCAGATTAGCTGGTATCTGCAGATTATTCTCTAGCTGAGGTGAAGACATTGTCCCGGTCCAATCCCAGACTCAGGAAGTCAGCAGCGTGGTGTCAGTGAACGACACCACAACTATTATTAGCTGGACTTTCTGGAAAGTTTACTGGACCCATGGCCATCAGCTGAGGAAGAGTTGCTCATGGTTGATGTTTTTTCTTTTTTTCCATCAGGTGTTGCTGAGTCTAATCTGTAGAACAGAAGTAATGCTGTTAGTGTGGGATGAACGTTCTCCAGTAGTAATTTAATTAACTCGTGGTTTTAAATCGTGCAGGTTGATGTTTTTAAGTCAAGAGAAAACAATATGTGCTGTTGGACCATAGTGTTCTTTATGTCACAGTGGAATGAAGTATGTGTACTCTGTACCTGTAGTGTACTCTGTACCTGTAGTGTACTCTGTACCATAAATATTTTAAAAAACTAAAGGCATTTAGTCACAAAATGAGTCATTGTTCCAGTCGGTGTTTTCTTGTAGGAATGGGCCTCATGCAAGAACCGTTGGTACGCACAGATTTGTTCTTAAGTTGTGCGTACGAGTGATTTAGGAGAATTTGTG